CCTCTGGACATTATCCAGAACTGCAGTACTAGAAACAGAGATCGGCAGTACAGGTCCTCCAATAGGAAAACTCGTCACAAATAGCAAACGGAGAGAGAGAGAGAGAGAGAGAGAGAGAGAGAGAGAGAGAGAGAGAGAGAGAGAGAGAATGAGAGAACGTCTTCCTAGAGGGAAAAGTGATAAAACAGTAGCCCTTCGGCCCATGAAATTCGAGAGAATTCGAACGTTGAATCCGTGGCCGAACACTCCAAACCTTCTAGATTGTAGACAGCGCGGTCGGCATCTTCCATGCCCAAAGAAAACTCTCATTCTCCATCGCTTAGGAGGAATCAAGGTTTTCACGGTCATCAGCAGGAAAAAGAAAAGTTTAAAAAACGTTTTTTCCAAATTTGACTTGAATTTCAAATTAGATGGATCGAATGCTCTTTGGGAATCGACCCCATGCTCAACAAACAGACCAAACGATTTAGAAAATATAGAAACTTTGAAAAGAGAGAGAGAGAGAGAGAGAGAGAGAGAGAGAGAGAGAGAGAGAGAGAGAGAGAGAGAGAGAGAGTACTGACAACGGAAAGTACGGCAAAGGAGCTGATGATCAGAGCCATCATGATGATTATAATCCTCTCAAACATCACGGCTCGTAACTTACGAGAAGTAACCCGAAGCAAAAAAAAACAAAAAAAAAACAAAGAGGTAATACGAAGGGAGAGAAGGAGAGAGGGAGGGAAGAGGAGGGACAGGGGGAGGGTAAGGAGGAAGGGAGGGAGGAAGGGAGCCCCAGAGATAACAACAAAAGCCGAGAGACGACAGCCGGGAAGCATAAAAAAAGTGACCGGAAAGGGTCCATTCAGCCGCTCGTGGCGACCCAAAAAAAAAAAAAAAAAAAAAAAAAAACAACAACAACGAGGAGGCGATAAAAAACGACCTTCGCTACTTTCCGTCTCTCTCTGGAGATCTACGCTCGCAATACATCTGACCGTCCTTCCCGTTTTTCTAAAAACTATTAACTATTTAAATTTCCGTAATTATCACATACTTTTTATCTGTAAATTGTTATTAAGCTATAAATTATTATTATTTATCTGTAAATAATTATCCATTACCAATTTACCTGTTTTATCTGCAAATAATCGACGAATATTTGTCACTCCCATACGTCTATTTTAATCTGATAAATTCAGCAACCCTCCCTCCTATCTCCCCTTCCTTTCCCACTCCTTCCCTTCCTTCGTTTTTTCCTTCCTTCATTCCTTCCGTACTGTTTTTTTCCCCCCTACTTCCTTACTGGGTTCCCCCCCCACCCCCCTTTTCCTTCCTTACTGTTTTATTCACTACTTCCTTCCCTTACCTCCTTCCTTACTGCCTTTTATTTTGATGACTGCCTTTTTTTTTTAACCTCCCTTACTGCTTTTTTTTTTAACCTCACTTACTGCTTTTTTTTTAACCTCACTTACTGCTTTTTCTTTTTTTTTTTCCTTACCTTGCTTCCTTAATGTTTTATTCACTGCTTCCTTCCCTTCCCTTCCCTTCCCTCCCCTCCTTCCTTCCAATACTTAGTCCGAATTTCAATTGCTTAATTTAATGCTTAGCTACTGCTACTCAATTTTACTTTATGGATTTTGCTTTAATCTAATGCTTAACTACTGCTACTCAATTTTACTTGATGATGGACTTGCTTCGAATTTCAATTGCTGAATTTAATGCTTACTACTTCTACTCAGCTTACTCGAAGGACTTGCTTTGGACTACGTACACTGCAAGTACTATGTTTGATCAACGGAACACGCAATCTCCATTTAATTAGAGCCGCGATTGCTTAATTTAATGCTTAGCTACTTGTACTCAATAATTTACCGGATGGAGTTGCTTTGGATTACTAGATGCACTGCAAGAATGTTCAATCAATCAATGGAAATCGCAATCTTCATTCAATTAGAGCAGGTCCTGGAACGTTTTCGTCTGCGAGAATTACCACATACTAATAAACTGACACGTCGACGTTATCCATTCCCTAGACCAGTGGCAAACTACGAGCAGAAGAAACGCCAGGACTGACCTCTGACGCTGATCAGTTGCTTCGCGCAAGCCGATGGCCGGGATCGCGCCCCCGCCGCCGATGTCTCATCCTCACTCTTTACTGCTTTCCAAACCGCGGCACTGGACACTACACTCCAGTTTCCAACCACAGTTTGCCGAGCAACTGCCTCCATCTCTCTCTCTCTCTCTCTCTCTCTCTCTCTCTCTCTCTCTCTCTCTCTCTCGCTCGCTCGCTCGCTGGCAGTGCTCTGCCTCAAGCTCACTGGCGAGCAGGTGTGTGTCTGTATGGTGCGAGTGTGCGTCCGTCGCAAGCGCGCTGGCAAACGAGTGTGTACGTCTATGCGCCCGCTCGTCGCCGCCTCCGTGATGGGTAAAACTGATCACATGACGCCTCCACTGAGCATGCGCCAGTGTGCACGAGAGATTGCCTGTGCAGATCTTATTGCTGAGAAACGACGGATCGAGCCAAGTGAGCTTACACAGCCTTACAGTCGAGAGGGGTAAAAAAAGTCACTTTCTGCCGGCGGCTGAACGGCGGGCGGGAGGCTCTTTGCCGTCGCCCAAATGTCAACTGCTCTATTGTGCTTTTTGGAGGTCACTTTTGCACTTGCCCGCTGATTTCACCGATCCCTCCCGCACACATGGCCGCCACATCGACAACTAATCCCCACGGCGCCATTGGCGTTTCGGTTGTGCCCCTCGGTTCTTCCTTCCACGACGGAGCGACACACCCCACCGCCCGCCGCTCGCCAGATCTGACTGACAGTGGCACATATCAGTTCGATCGATTTGGATTCCATGGTTTATTCCGCGGAGCAACACAGCCCGCCGGGGGCAAGGTCACACTTGGGCAAATTAGGAGAGATTTCGGCCGTTGATCTTTGCTGTCTACGGTCAGTATCTCTTAGTTCGTGCAAGGGGGACCTAGCCCGCCGGATCTGAACCGAGTGGGATGAGGGTCGGGCCAGATCGGACAGGCTCGGGCCGGCCGGGACCAATACAACAGGTCCAACCGAACGGTTTTTTTTGAGGGGCGAGGGGGGGGAAACGAACAGAAAGGATTCCATTGTATAAACATTCGAGGCCGAGAACGTCATTTATAATCTGTATATCCGTTCAATATTCATAATCAGCCTTGAGATATCATCGTCAAACTGACGGGCCCCAGGGCCGAGGTCCCACTAGCAAAAAGGATAGGATCGAGCTCCTGAATCTGGATGTGTTTTATGCAGAGATGCAGAAAAGCAGTTCAATCTCGATTTCCTGCACTTCTCCATAACGTCGTCCAGATTCAGGCATTCGATCCGATCCTCTTTGCTAGTGGGACCACGCCCCAGGTAATTCAGGAATGTCCTTGGTTCCACCTGGATTCGGCCGGGTCGCCTGGGTGAGAGCCAGGTATCCTAACAGGACTAGACTAGGACGGATCGAACACAGCTACACAGGTCTGCTCCAGATAAAATACTAAAATTTCAAGTCATAGATGATGCCAGATGGCACAGGAAAGAGTCAAGAAGGTGGGCGCAGGAAAATCAGGCCGCTTTGCCAAAACGAGGCAAGGAGGACTCAACCTCTGTGTGACCTGACCATTGTGTCTCGCATTGCGATGAATGCCACGAGTGGTTGGGGCCTGGAAGGCGCAGCGCCGGAGACTTCGCAAGCTGTCATGGGTGGGCAAACTCCGTGACTTAAGGGCTCGTTAGACACTCCTCGGGGCGTCCTCGGGCTCCGAGGGGAAATCCTCGGGGCAGCCCAAGGATTTTCCCGCATTCGTTCCACTCGTCCCTCGGGACGATCCCCGAGGATGCTCCAACGACTGGCCGCGGGGAGTCATATAATGTTATACACGGCCGCGGGACGAGTGTTTGGGCGGTGGTCCTTCGTCTGGTGTCCGTCTGGCTGGACTTGGTCCACCGCATATGGGCGGCGAATTTGAAAAGGGACTGCCGCCGCCACGGGAAAAGGAAAATTGCGCGCGCGCGCGTGTGATTTCAAAATTCAAAATTTGAATCGGCCAAGCGTGGCGTCTGGTGCGGTGGGGCGGGGAGACGCGTGTGTGTGACGGCCCCATCGGGGAAGCGCAGGGGTGTTGCAGTGGGCGTCATGCGGAAACGGCCAATGGCCGTTTGGGCGTCAGCACAGACGTCGCCACGTATTAGAAGACGTGACGCACCCTGGCTACGACAGCAGCAGTGAGCGCCGCCGCCGTCTTGCGTGTTCGCATTCGCGCATTCTGCCCCGAACGCCATCTCCGCGAACTTCTTCGTTGCCAGTGTCCATTGGTGGCGGCCTTGTGTCGTCGTTTGGGCGACTTCTGCCGGCGTGGATGAGTGCGATGTCTTCGGTAGTCGATATGCTTTCGGTCGGTGACGGGGATGAGGGCGGGCCTAGGTTGTCCGATTTGGAGAGGGCTGCAGTGACGTCCGTCGTCGCTGCCGTCATCATGCATTGCGAGACGGAGGTCGAAGGCGAACAACGGTGGGCACGGCTACGCGCTCGAAGAAGGAAGGCGATGCAGCCGCCCACGTGTGAAGGGTTGGATAGCGTCGCCATCTGTGACGCCGTGTTTGAGGTATGCTGCGCCCTGGGGTGTGGGGGACTGCCGAGGGCGACCCCGAGGTGGTGGGTGAAACGAAGGACGGGGGGAACTTGGGAGGATCTTCAGCCTGCAGACGACGCCACTGAAGACTACTTCCCCGACAAATTACGGATGTCTCCACTTGTCTTCCGTGAGATCGTTGAGAACTTGTCGTCGATTCTCGAGCGACGTGTGACGTTCTACAGAGAGTCTTTGCAGCCAGACCACATCGTCGCCTACGCGCTTTACAGACGGGCGTCTAGCGGTCGCGTGCGGCGGCGGGCGAGTTGTTCACAGGGCCTCCTGTGTTGCTGTCGTTCCAAGTGCAGACCAATGGTTATCTGCTGGCCGACAATGGTTACCCGCCGAGCGAATGGATGGTTGTCCCCTATGGCGGCATGGCACAGACTCCGTTCGAGGCCCGTTTCGACAACAAACAGAAGACGGCGAGGGGGGCGGTGGAGAGGGCCTTCGAGAGACTGAAGGGAATGTGGCGGTTGTTCCTTGGGTCGCACAAGACTAACATGGAGACCTTGCCGCAGCAGTTCGTGGCCGTCTGCATCTTGCACAACATCCTGATCGACGCCAAGATCCCTTCCGATGAGAACTTGTTGTGGGAGGTGGACGCCAATGGAGTTCGCCGTCAAGTGGATCTTGGGATCCAGCGGCCCCCCAGGCCTTTGTGCATGGAAACTTCTACGGGGGAAGCGGTCATGCTGCGTGAAGCGCTGGCGGAGCGAATGATGCAGCGATGAGAGATGTCGGCGGCGCGGGGCGGAAGGAGATGTAAGCAGCGTACGTGGAAGAGCGTTTGACGGCGGCAGTAGAAGGAAGCAGCGTGCGGAGAGACGAAGGAGACAGTAGATTGTGTGATGCCATCCAAGTCATCGTCCTCATTGTCGGACGAAGACCGGAGAACGTCTGTGTAGTGTAGTAGTCCCCCTCCGTTGTGTCGTCCACATTCAGATTGTTGACGACCGCTGTTTCTTTTTGTTTTCTTTTGATCCGTGCTTTCACATTGACGCGTTGATAGTGCTTTATTCCCAGTTTATGCGCAAGCCATAGGGCGGCAGATGTGGTGGTGGCGGCCGATTACTGTTGTCTGTGAACCGCATGGATACGGGATTCGGGTCTGTGGTGTGCGACAGACGCATGCATGTGTTGGGGTTCCTTTTCCCCGTTTTCCGAAGCGCAGTACTACGCACAGTGTACTTTTTATTTGTTTACAAGGGTTTGATGATTATTGTGTTCTGTTCGTTGAGTTTTATTGCTTGTCGTGGACTATTTTCCTCCCTGTCATGTGCCCTGCGTGCCGAGATGAGGGCGCACTTACGTGCGTAATGATGTGAACGAGTGCAAGCCATTGATGATAGCATTCATTTGAGTCCACATATATCCATGGTCCAAATGTTGGAGTACATATTTTCTGTTGTCAATCATTCGTCTTCATCTTCGTGAAAGTGTTGTGAATGGTTGAACGATGAGTGCAGGAGAAAGAAAGTCACTGAGTGAAAACGTCAATCTCTCACACAGAATTCATGCACCTTATCACCCACAGCTTTACATGGAAGCTTTGCAATCGGAAAGAACAAACATAAGAAAACACGACTGCGATATAAAAGGAACGTTCGCCATAGCACACGAAATCAAATTAGCATCAATGATGCGCATAGACATGATGGACGTTGATGACACCGCACAATCAACGATGAGTGACCCCTTTAATGAAAAGACGTGCATGTCGACTGCACTTTGCTGCCAGCTTTATGAAACCGAGCTCTCACCCCTACTCGGCAACCGCTTTTACAACAGGAAACGACTCGACGCAAAGGAAGTAGAAGACAGTCTACGAAACGCGCGCAACCGCTATTCACACACCATGCCAGCTCCTATCCCCATCATCATCGACGACATCGTCATCGTCACCACCATTGTCGTCATCACCATCACCACCTTCGTCATCATCATTATCATCTTCATCATGAACATTGTCATCATCATCTTCATCATCATCATCATCATCATCTTCATCATCACCATCGTCACCGTCACCGTCATCATCACGATCGTTATCATCACGATCGTCATCATCATCATGAACATCGTCATCATCATCATCGTTGTCGTCACCATCATGATCATCGTCACCGTTATCATCATCATCATCAATGTCATCATCGTCGACATCATCGTCATCATCAGCAGCACCGGCGGGTGGCTGTGCGCGGTCACCTCCTGTCGTCGTGCACAGCGCTTGCCGTCACGATTCCCCGCCCTCGTCTTTCTCGTCGTCTTCATCATCGATCTCCGGAGGTCCGGTGCCTAACCAATCTAGTCGTCTGGCGAGCTCAAGAGACGTCAACGTGGCGTCGTTGTGGAACGACACCCCACACGAAACCCACTCGGGGATGTACACCGGAGGGTCGACCAACGTCATGGGGGGCCTCCCCATTTTCCCCATTACTGCATTGACACACTGCAGAACATGGCGGCGCGCGTCGAACGACTGATATAGCGACGCAATGAGTGTCGGTTTCGCAATGAGCTCCACGAGATGGGATGCCTCATAATGCGAACGGAGATTATCTCCCGCCATCCGCATGATCCACATGGCAGCAGACAGCAAAAGACGCATGCAGTCTGCCACGTTCCTCAACCTCTCGTACGATATCCGCCCACCGTCTACCCCCTTCCCCATGTCAACAACATTCGTGAAAGCTCCCACCAGACGTTGCGTTGTGGACTTCTGATACGATGCCATTTCGTCGTCTTCGTGCCTGTCGTGTATGACACCACCTAAGTACCAGATGGCAAGTTTCATATGAATCTCCAAAGTGTTATGGACGACCGTCGGACTCACACATACCCGCCAGTCCTCTCCAAACCAGATGGCGCGAGCGAGGTCTATGGCGACGTGGTTCAGCACATAGCCGTAGGAGCAGTGGTACCCGTGCGCGCGATTGGGGGACTTGAAGATTCACCCATGGATGATGCGCAATGCTATGGTCTGCACCCTCGAAGCCCTCTCCTTCGCGGCCCCCAACTCGGACACGTCTTCCAGCTTCTGCTGAGGGATCGTGGCGTTCGGGAGGACAATGCTTTTTCTGATCTCCGACGGTTTCACACCTTTCGCGAGGGCGATGAGGTGCAGGCGCGTCTCCTGGATGATCTTGAACATCCCATGCCCCTCCATCTCGTTCCAGAAACGCAGATCGTTCACCCACAGTTTCACTTTCGCCTCTAGAGCCGCCAGGTTTTCGGATCGCCTCTGCCTGTTAATGAGGGGATCGTCGTCATCAGCATCATCACGATCGTCGCCACCGCCCCCCCCCGCGCCTGTCGTCGATGTACCAACGACGGCCCCCACCGCTGCGGCTTCCTTTGCGGGAATGCGCGTCGCAAGCTGTCCCCTGACTGCCGCATTCACCCCCGCCCCTTCATCCCTTCTCGCCTGTCCCGCCGTGGGCGTCGCTGGGTTTGAAGGCGCCCGCATTGGCGGGTGTTTACCGACGTCCTCGACCGCCTGAACGTCCTTCGACGGCACGGCGCCGCACATGCCAGGGGTCATCGGCTGGCCACGCTCCTCCCTGGCAGCAACACCGCCTCCCACGTCGCCGCCCGCCTCACCCTTGCCTTGCGCAACCCCGTGACCCCCATCCTTACCACCGTCAACGCCTTCCTCTCCGCTCACCATTCGTGAGTTCGACAGTTCACGCAAGGTCCCTTTCCTCCCATGAAATGTGTCCGCCTCCGATTCGAAATCGTCGTCCTGTCCGCTGCTGGCCTCGGTAACCCACTCTTCCCGCGCAAACCTCCCGATCACCAGAGCACCGCCGCTTGATGCCTTGGGCTTCTTCGCCTGATGCCTCCCCCGCTTCACGACGCCGGCAGCTTCCGTTTTCTGGGAATCCCTCTCCCTTTTTCCCTTGCTAGAGTTGCGAGTATTCGTCATCGCCGAGAAGACAGACAGTGATGATGGCGATGACGAAGAGACGACAACCACACGGCTGCCACAACGATGCCCGACCGAACGGGGAGAAAGACGAGCGGTCGAGAAGAAGGAAGGGCGACAACGATGGTGGCGAGGCAAAGGCTGCGCAGGTGGAGTCCAAGCGTGAATACGACGTCTGGCGAAAACGACAGTGGCGAGAAAAACAGTGCGCGAAGAGGAGTCGACACGTAAAGATGACGTCTGGCAAAAACGGCGGTGGCGAGAAAAACAGTGCGCGAAGAGGAGTCGACACGTAAAGATGGCGACTGGCGAGAGAGATGGCGGCGAGACACACAGTGCGCGAACAGGAGTCCCAACGTGAAGATGACGTTGGGACTGCGCGATGGCGGCGACACAGGCAGTGCGCGACGAGGAGTCCGAACGCGAAGATGCCGTCTGGCCACCACCTGCGTGGACAGGTCATATCGTAGTCGTGGCAAATGTTCCTCATGCGCCGGCGACACTGCACAGGTTGTCTACAGGGTGAAGGGAATGGCAGAGGGACCATTCCATTTGCAATCCCTTTTCCGACACACGGACGGTGGGTATGCGGCATTCCGCCAATCGGACCCCCCCAAAAAACGAAC